TTAAGCTGCGTTCACACCGAACGCAGCAGGAGCAGCAAAATCGCGTCTGCTGCTTCCTTTTTGACGCATGTAGCAGTTTAGTTCTGACGCGCGGCTGAAGCAGCTTTGCTGCTCTAGCTGCGGGGGGGAAAAGTGGGTCTGACGCGTGTTAGGCGGAGCTACTCTATCCTTAAATACTCGCTGCTCCTGCTGTGAACGCAGCCTTATGACCTTACGCCCAAATCCATCAACAGCTCCATTAATACAGATTCTGTTTGGTTTTAGTTTTTCATATGAACCGATATCCTGCATGGAGTTGGGACCTGGTCCAACTTCTTACCGTATTTATGAGAAAAGATCTCATTATTACGAGATTAGTGTATCATAAGTTGTCAGATTTTTTTTTTCTATGAATGCGAATGAATGTAAATATCTTTTGAATTTCAATTTTCTAAGAAGCTTTATTTGCTTCCAGCAATAATTTCTCCCCATAAAGCTGCATCTTTCTGCTGTTTTTGATGGCTGATGTTTTTATGTTGTTGTTGTTTTTCCCTCTCAGGAGTTTGAGGTGCAGCAGAGACGCTCCTGCCTCAGCAAAGCAGAGGCCATGCTCAAGAAGCTACAGCCCCAGTTTGAGCTCTTCCTAAAGGTATTTCCCATTTAAATGTCAGCTTTGTAAAAGAAAAACATGAATTAATAACTCAAACCAAGCTGCTACCTTTACTGTGAGATTAATCCTGATTAATTGATATGATTTTTTAAAATTCTGTTAAAAATGAATAAAAAGGTTCAATACAATGATGGATAACTTTACTTTCTTCTTGGATCTTCTTCTGCTTTCATATTTAATCCTTTCAACCACCTCAGCTGCCTTAAAGCCCCAGTGTGTCAGATTTACTGCCATCTAGTGGCGCGTTGAAGGATTTCCAAACAGCTGAGATGCTCGTTCTGAGCTTCCCTGTTATCGGTGTCATCAGAGGAGGAGAGACAGAAACATCCTTCTGTTTAATGTTGATGCCAGGAAGTTAGAAGCTCAGAGATTTTCTCTTCTTTCATTTTCATTTCTTTCAGCTGATCTGATGGTGAAGCTTCCCAGTCATCCAGGTCATAATCATTAAATAAAAGTTAAAAACAATCGACTGGACTTTGTTTCCAAGTTAGAAGACGTTTCTCTTCCATCCAGGAAGATTTTTCAATTCAAAATGTCAGAAATAGCTTAAATAAATAAATAAAGCCTCAAACTCAACGCTGTTTCTGACATTTTTAATTCCACAGTTCATGAAGCTTCATGAGAACATTTCACCTACTGGTGGAGTGCAGAACTACACTTAGTAATATAGTCTATGATTTTTTTTTTTTTTTTTTTGCAATTGTTTTTCCATTTTTCCCATTTAAGTTCCTTTTGACATTGTTAATTATTGGTGTTTAAGATAAATTAAAAGTAAAATGTCTTAGAAGAGAAAAATCATTCAAGGTTCAGTTTTTCTGCCATTTTAGTGAAAAAAGCTCAAGCAGAAAGTGAAAATGTTTGTTCAAATTGGGCAAAGATGAGCAAATTGAAAGCTGTTAACTAAAAGCTCCACATTTTTGGTTTTAAATCGGGTTGGAAGTTATGTGGCTCTGTCTTTCCTGGACGGGGCCGCCCGTGGAGCTGGTTGACAGTTGCCTT